CCTTAAAAAATTCCCTAATATTAAGAAATGATCCTTTATATTTTGTAATTTGAATTACTAAACACTAGATTCATAATAATATCGAGGTTAAATGCTAATTTTAATCTCTCAACTTTAGAATTTTATATAGTTTTGGTCCGTCATTTAATTTCTCAACTATAAAAAATGCATTTTTTTTTATTTTTTCGTCAATTAATCTGTTAAATTTATTTATATATACACATTTTTAATCCCTTCAATTTATGATTTTGCACAATTTTTATCCCTCAACTTAAAAGTTTAAGAACTAAAAATAAACATATATGAACATACTTAATAGATTAATTGACAAAAGAACTAAAAACTGCATTTTTTTTATAGTTAACGGACCAAAAAAGTATATAAAAAGTTGAAAGACTAAAATTATGTAAAATTCCAAAGTTAAGGGACCCAAACTGACATTTAACCTAATATCTGCCATGCTAGGAAAAAAAAAAATTTGTAGGCGCAGCTGAGCCTTGTGATTTGAAAACAAGATCCCACTCTCAGCTCACCAATATGGTCTTCATCCAGGTTAGATCATTAATTGAGACATAACTATTCTGTTAGTAATATCGGCAAAAACTAATACTACCAATTAGTGGTTGTTATATCAATCTTAGTTCCGGCTTCGCTTAAATGTAATCTATGGTTGAAATTTTATTTATATATATCTCATAATAAATTATATAATAAAAAATAAGATTATTACTTTTTAAATTTCTCCATAGTAGATCATTTCATGTTGGTGTTGCAATGGACCGAAATTGTGAGACACAAAGTTCTCATTTTGCTTTTGTCTCGGTTTCCCTATTCCCTTCATGGTTCCGAATCGCATATTGACCTAGATTTGTTGAGATCTCGGGGAGGACTTTGTGATTTCAAAAATAAGAAGCTTTGTTTTCTGCACAAGCCTGGTATCATCTTCGTCTCTAAAACAAAGCGAACATTTACTAAGATGAATTTGATTCACATAGATCTAGGGTTTGCACACTGTTTTGCTATTGATTGTGTTGGTATGGGGTGAATTGGCTCTGCTTTGGATAGATGATTTTCAATTGCAACTATCGTCTATTTCATAGTCCCTTATAAAATGTTGAAATTGTTGATCTGAATGGTTGTCATTGGAGGTTAACCGGGTTTTATGGTCAAAAATAGAAGGAAAAGGATGTTGGTGAAGCCAATTGTGTTATGCAAGGGAAGAATGATATTCAAGTCGGCAAAGGAGCCCTTAATGAGTTTTGACAACAAGGGCTTGAAGAGGATTAGAAAAGATGGGTTCATGGTTGGGAGCACATGGGAACGAGTGGGGTGCCTTGTGCTTGCATGGAGGAGGACCATGCCCTTCATGTTGGTTATTCTTTAAGAATGGATAGGGCAACAACTTGTGAGTTGGGAACTATTGTTGCCGGAATCCCTTGCTCACCCTATGAAGTTGGTTAAATAGGTGAGGATATTCAGTAGCTGCTGATGCTGCTGATGCTCATAGTAACTCTCCTTTCTACATTAATAGCCATATTTAGCTCATACAGCGATTGTAATTGCAATATCTAGTTGCAGATGGCTCTTTTTGCTTAATTGTCTATATTCGTCATGGATATAGTTTAAATTTGTTACTAATGTTGTAGGCTATACTTCTGATTTTGTCTTTAGGATATGCTACTTTAGGCTATAATGTCATGAGATGAAGATTCTATTGCAATTTTTTATTATTTAATATATTTTTCTATTTTTTATAAAAAAAAAAACAAAAAACAAAAAACAAAAACAAAAACAAATACAAAATGTATGGGGTTTGCCTTGTGTTGCTCCTTTTACATTGGTCTCCAAATTCTTAGTAAAAATGATGAGATTTCCATTTTTATTTTGTAATATAAATGGATGATAACATTTTTTTATATATATATTTCTCTTTTTTAGAAGAAGAAGAAGAAGAAAAGATATTACGAACTTTTTATCTACGATCTTTTTACCCTACATTATATTAATTTGGATTCAAAACTTTTGATTTACAAATATTTTAAAGGTTGAATTCACCAATAAGTTCGAATTTACAAAGTAAGCTTAGGTGTAAATTGTTAAGGTAAATTTTCTTGAAAAAACTAGTTAGATCAATAAACAAGATGCAAAAATGCACTTAAAGATTGCTCATGAAGAGATGTCTCAAAAGTATATGTATATAAAGATTAACTCAGAAAATATTTTGACCATAAAAAATACTTTGAATTAATTATGTTATGAAAAAAAACGAGTTTATCATTGAGTTATTATTGTAACAAATGCTTAACATAAAACTTGCATAGATGAGGATGCCGGCCGATTGAGACCAACCACAACGAGCTGGACCAGCTCCTTTAGATTGGGCTCATAATGTTTATAGATTTACCGTGACTCCAGCTCAAATGGAAACAAGATTTAATTACGTAGTTAAGTGAAAGTTTTCCGCATCAAAATAAAATACGTTAGGCACTTAGGCTAGTTTATCCTCCATACCCAATTAATTTTTGTTGAATTATTCTTTCACATGCATTGTTATTGTATGTTTATTTATAAATCAAGTGGACAAAAATAAAAGTGATTAGAGATTACTGACACTACCTAATGAATTTAAGATTAGATTTGAAAGTTAGTTGAGAACTAATTAACCTTTGGTTTTTCATCTTTCCCTGAAAGCAACCTCCACAGTACTAGTGCACACTCAATGGATTTCTCTTCTCTCTCTCTCTTTCCTTCTTTCTTTCTTTCTTTCTTTCTTTCTTTTTTATTTTTTATTTTTTATTTTTTATTTTTTTATTTCTCTTCCCTTAACAATGCAAATTTAAAAAGCTGTTATGCAGCAAATAGGATTCTTATACAAATTATACAAAATTAACTTTGGATGTGTACATCTTATCTTCTCTGCCAATGAAATCAAGAAAAAAAAAAAATTGCGTGTGTACGTGGATGACAATTGGTCCAAAATTTTAGTTTCTTTATTTTGATTGTAATATTTTTTTTATGGAGTTTTGATCATTTTTTAATGAAATTTTAATAATCACTATACTAGTCTCTTTCCTAAAGAATTTTTTTTTTTTTTTGGTTTATGGTATTTGTTGTTGTCATAATATTCTATTTATTTGAGAATAATATCCTGATTTATTTTCTCAAACATTCATTAGCATTTTGACTTTGGAATAACTAGTCTATGATAATATTTATATCAGAAGGAAGAAATACAAGAGCAATCTTATCTTACCTAGATTATTAAACCTTACTAACCTACTGCCAGCTCTTAGATAAGTTCTTTAATAATTTTCCTTTGACTGAAGCAAAAAGATTAAACTTATCTAGTCCAACATTAATATTACAAGAGTGTTTAGCATTCCAGTCTGGAATGCAAAACACTAGTCCAAAGTATGGTTAGATGTGAAAACAATTACAAAGAGAGAGTTACTTATACGCTTATACAATCAAAATCACAACTGTTTGTAGTGGCTATTGGCATGGCATCATATCACCAGAAAGCAAAGGCAGAAAAAAGGCTAAATTTATATACTAAATCTTATTTTAATGAAAAATTATTGGTACACTTAATTCGACACACTTGTCGACATGTAGTAATTTAGTCATTAAATTTTATAGTTTTAAGGTTTTTCACTTTTCATTCAAGTTTGAAAATGATAATTTCTTAAAAAATATATAATGAAGTGTGTTGAATAAAAAAATGTAGCATTTCTTGTCCTATTTTAATATTTTTAATTAATACACATACCTGCCTATCTCACATACTATCAACGTCTAGACCTAGTTCCCATCAAGCCTTAATTGAGGAGGACTTGTAATCAGTTCCCTGTTCTTTTCGCATGTGACACGGCTGCTTAGCTGCTAAGTTATCCAAAGGCTTTGTGGTCGATTTCCTGCTGCCATTTCCCGAGAGTCAGACAGTGCATGGTCTGAGAACAAAGTGGAGTGTGCTGCTTATCGAGTTCATTGTCAACATTTGTAAGAGTACAAGTACTTGACCTGTTGACGCTTAACAACCACTAATTGGAAGGTCCAAGCAAAGGAGGACAACCAATAGGAGAAATGGGGGGAGTAAAACATGGACAAAATTTTTTCCGGCTGCAGAGTGCAGACTACTGTAATTAATTAATCCTTTGATCCTGGAGAATGATATTCTGCCTTCATTCAATTTGCACGAGTATTATGGTTTTGAAACTCTGTTACCTTTGTCAGAATTAGAAAGAGGCGTGGCATAAGGGTTATTTCTTCATTGGACAAGGGAAAACGGTATGCAAAAGAAGGGGAACACCAAAGTAGACTATTCATGATTGATAATTCAATGCCCCTTCAATCAGTTTCAGAACTTGTAATTGTTTCTAATACAGAAGAATTGGTTTGGATTTTGGAATGCCATTTAATGCACATGCAAATTGAAATTCAACTCAGACATATTTCCAGCCACTCCTGGCATGCCACGTACCCGAGAAAGGTAACATGGTAGCTAATTGGTGTTAGTAATGCCATGAATTTCCACTTCACAAGTTTGAAAAATTTAGTACCACAAGCAATACGTTGTTCTTATTATCTTACTTCAAAACAGTTTTTTTATGTCTCTATTTTATAATATGGTTCACAAACTTGAAAGGATAGAGTTCTATTAAGTAAGTATTATTTTATAGATTAAATTTAAGATCTAAAATTTGAAATTAACACTTAAAGAAATTAATTTTTTTAAATATTGAGATGTCATGATGTATTTTTAAAATTATTCAGAAAGATATTAATTTTAAAGTGGGTAAAAGAATACCTTAATAATAAATACCAAAAGAATAAAAAAGGGCCCGCATTTAATTAGCTTGTATAGAAATAGTTCCCTCTTGTCTTAATTTGGTTGCTTATAGCTTAAGCTAAACTAACTAAAACTTTTAGCGTCATAGTCCGCTCATCAGCTGCATTTCTTGACTTGATGTGCTATATAAAAGGGACTTGCGTCCTCTTTCAATTTGAACTTTAGCAGAGGTCAGAGGAAGAGAAATCATAGTATAAGAGAGGAAGAGGAGGAAGGAAAGAGAGAGGGAAAAAAAAAATGGGGAGGAGTCCATGTTGCTCCAAGGAAGGACTTAACAGAGGAGCCTGGACTGCCTTGGAAGACAAAATTCTCACTTCTTATATCAAGGCACATGGAGAAGGCAAATGGAGAAACCTCCCAAAAAGAGCTGGTACTCAATTTCCCTTTATCTTCTTCCCCTGTTTTCCTCTGTTTCCCCTGTTTCTTGAACATACCCCTTCAGGTGGGAAATGCATTAAAAGCTAAATATAAGGTCTAACACCTGAATAAATTGAAAATTGATTCATTTTGAAATGCAGGTTTGAAGAGATGCGGGAAGAGTTGCAGACTCAGATGGCTGAATTATCTTCGACCAGATATCAAAAGAGGCAACATATCGCACGACGAGGAAGAACTCATAATTAGACTCCATAATCTTCTTGGCAACAGGTGTTTTTTTTTTTTTTTTGCTTTCTTTTTCCATGATCTCCATAATATTCTAATTGTAATAAGGATGAAGGAATCATGTATTTTGTTCTCTTTGCTAGATGGTCTTTAATAGCTGGAAGGCTACCTGGGCGAACAGACAATGAAATCAAGAATTACTGGAACACCAACCTAGGGAAAAAGGCTAGAGCTCAGACGCAGACTCAGTCATCCTCTCCGGACAATTCTGGACTCAAGAAGATTTCCAGTGAACCCCAGACCACGGAGCCATCCAACTCACAACCGACCTTAGAAACCAAGGCCATCCGGACCAAGGCCACCAGATGCACCAAGCTCCTGTACCCATTGCTGCAACGTAGTGAAGAGGTAGAACCTAACCATACCTTGACCCCTCAAGACCAACCTGAGCTCCAAGACGAGTGGAATCAAAATGAAGTGCTGGATGTGATTTCCAGGCAGAAGGCGGATTTCTTGACTTTTGGAAGCAATGATCATGTTCAGACAAGCATTACTGGAGAAGAACAGTACTGTCTGCAACCATTTGAAATAGAGGAGATGTTCGTGGATTGGACAAAAAATCCTTGTCCAGAGGAGGACAACAATGCCACCTTGGGTCTAGATTCACTTGAATTTTTCCTCAACGATGAAGATTGGCCGTCACAAGAAATTCCCTGCTTTACAGGCAATGAAAATTAACAGTAAAACCATATGTGTGAATATATATATATATATATATTAATAATATATGAAAAAAAGCCATGTATCTTTTTTATCATAGATATTATTACTATGTCATGATCATGAATCAGCATATTGGATGCAACTTTATGAGATTAAAAGATGGTTTCTGGTTAACTGCAGGCTGCGCTAAAAAGGGCATTCAAAAATTCTGTATATATTATGTCGCTGTTGTATGATTTTGTCGTGATAATGATGAACTCTTGAATTCATCCCCCCTCCCCCCCCATTTTTTTCTTGTGCCAACAAGGCTGACACCATTGCCCTTGCTATTGTAACAATGAATCTGAAAGCAACATTAATGTGTGTCCATGCAGACTGCTGAAATATTAATAAATCATAGAGGACTTACTGACCAGTTCTTTTTAAAAGATTTCCGCTTACATTGTTTTCAAGAAGCTTAGAGCGTAGACCTTTTTAAACCTCACCTTTATCCTAATATGAAAAAAAAGGAGAGGGAAGTGGGCGGGGTGGGCGTGGCATTAAAGAACTTATTAAGGAGACTTTTCTTCCTTGAATCATGGCAATTCTCTATATATCTAATTGTACTTTTCCATAAGAAAGTTTGTTGGAATTTTCCTTTCACGCAAGACAATAATTGTTAGGATTAATAGTTATTCGATCCTTCACTTAAACTTTCACTTAAATTTAAATTGTTGAATAAAATAGTTTATAGATGTTTAAAATTAGTTGCACTTCTAATTCATTAGAAAATAAATCCTCACAACTCATGTTCATGATTTTGTATTAGAGTTGTTGAGTTTTAATTGAATGGTATGATATTTAAATTATTAAATCTTGATTGCATTTATAATTTATTTGAAAATAAATTTTTATAACTCAATATATGATTTTACATTAAAATTTTCGAACTTTGACTGAATGGTATGGTATTTGAATTACTGAATGCTAATCGTGCTTATAACTTATTTGAAAATAAACTTTTCACAACTCAATTTATGTTTGTTAAGTTTTGACTGAATGGTATGATATTCAAATTGTATACGTGCTCGTAATTCATTCGAATAAATTTCCGCGGCTTGACCGAGTGCTATTATGATTTAATAGTATTGGCAGGCCGATTATCAGGAATAATAAAGAAGCAATAATTATTGTGTTATTGCTAATTAATAACGAAGATGGCTACCCTATTACTACATTTGGACAAACTGGCTTGTATTTGTTTGAAAATGTGTAATTACTAGGCCAAATGTACGGTGGAGAGAGCTCTAGCAGCCTCTGCTCTGTCCTTCAAATCTTGCCACAAATCTTTGAGTTGAAGGTGAAAACAGGGGAAATTCAGTAATCTTATTTGTCTTATTTTAAAATTTTGTGCTTCGATTAGAAATTATTGGGGGCATGTGATCACCAAAAAGAAAACTTAGTGTTAGGTAAGGAAATATGAATTGCTTTCCCTCTCCATTGACCATTAGATGGATGCTTCGTTCACCTCAAAGCTCAAATCAAACCCCATAAACACCAAATGCTAATTACCCTGCAACTTGCATTATGCTTTTAATCATGTATTTCAAAAAAAAGGGATATGATTTAATATTTGAAGTCATGACATTGTCTTTATAGTTATCAGAGTTAGCAAAAAATGCAATGGTTAATTTTTCTAAATATTAACGATACTGAAATTTATGAATTGAGCAGTCAAAAAGTACCACCCTACATTTGGATGGTGACTACTAAGGTGGCCGCTACCTGCTAGTCCTTTTAAGAGAGAGCACTCATTACGGTTCAATGTTTTCTAGTAATGGTTTTCACAAACATTATGCAGAGAACAAAAGAACATGTCAATTCAAGTGGTGCCTAACATGAGAATTAAAGGTCATAAAGGATGCCTTTCAAGATCAAGCAACAATTTCTTCCCAGGTTATCAATGCAAATGTTGAAATTCAAAATAACTCTCCCTGTTAATTACTCTTGTTTTACTTTATTAATTTGCTAGTAATACGTGTCGTAATATAGTTTGTTGTTACTAATTATGCTTAGCTAATGTTGTGGTCTGTGATTGGATCTAGTTTAACCTCCACCATTAAAAGTAATCCCATCTCAGGAAACGAACACCATGAAATGTTCTAAACATTTTTGTAAATTCAGCTTCTACCTTTAGAAGCTGACAATGGCTAGAAATTAGACCAATCAGACATTAAAACTTTAGAAAAACACGTATCTGCTACACATGAGAACGACTCCTCGCAACTCTTAACACCCAAAAGTTCATTTCCCATCCGGAATGGATGTGTTCATCTGCAGAAGACAAAAGAGAAGCCTTGAGAAGCTGTAAACATGTACACAGGAATACCAGGCAAAGATAGCAATTGTATGCAATACCTAACCAAAGCATGTCCAGAAGCAGGTGAAAAGTCTAAACAAATTATTGATGAGCAAATAGGAGGAGTAATACCAAAAGCGACAACAAAATAAATATCCAGAAGAGAGCATGGTAGAAAATTGTCTACAAACCAACTAAAAACACCAATCACGGGAAAAATATTATTATTGTGCCACTGTCAGCTTCCATGGTAACTATTCCTATTAGTGGAGGATTTCACATAAGCACTGTGGAATTGACAAAATTGTTTCTGAAAATTACAAATTAACAGAAACAATATTTATATCAAATTGTTCTAGGAGGTTGGAATCCAGAATATTATCATAAAGACAAAAAGTAAACAAATGGCATAACTATTCCATTGAAAATCAGTGCATAATGCTTGACCAAATAATCCTAGGCTTGCTACCTAACGTTCTACCAATGCAAGCTCCACGCATAGAAGTTAATGAATCACACACTGAATTCCTTCCCATCTGGGAAAAGACATAAAACTACATTTCACGACAATGACACAGATTCTTTGTGATGTCATCCAGAAAAGGAAACATAAACATGAGAACCTACTGTTCTCCATTTTTGCTAACCAGGCTAAGGAAACTCTAAATTACAAATTCTAAATTGACAGTTTGACGTATCCTTTTGCTAACCAAGTTAAGGAAACTCTAAATTACAAATCCTAAATTGACAGTTTGACATATTCAATAGACATCCATTTGAGCTGTTTTCTTTTTCCAGTGCCACGATGCATTCTTTCAATCCTGCAATTAGATGCAAGTAACTTTGATTGGGATATAAAACCACTCCAATCATGTTCTGACTATGATAAATATCCATGATCAAGAAATTTAGGGGGTTGGCTAGAGACTCTAGGACTAGAACATCATTGACATAAGAAAAAGTTCAGGTCGTTCACCAACTGGAACTGCAACAAAACCTTTGTACAATCCATGTAATATTTATATCAATTGTACAACCTGTTCTACAAGCAAATAAATAACTAGAATCAAGCTATGAAGTTCAAGAATCAAGTGTCTTAATAATCTACCGCTTCAAACAGCATCATGAGGTTTGATTTGCAGTCCCAAGAGCTGCAAAGGAAGCAGCAAACTGGGTTAATACAATTGTTAACAGGAGGATGTGTCCATCTGAGGGGGTCATTAGGCCCCGTCTTCCTTTTTACAGATTTTAAGTTCTGATCTGGCAGGCTAATAACAGTTTTTTTTTTTTTTTTTCAGAGCCTGTAATACCCTTTGTTTTCTCTAGTTCATCAAGGAACGCAAGCATTTGAAGTCCAAAAGAAAAAAATTGCAGGTGTAAATTAACCTGAAAATAATTCTAAAAATAAATTTACGACTACATCCAACACAAAAAGAAAAGGTTTTTAATTCAAAGGAGGCTCTAAAGTATAAAAACACACTCTGTCTCCCCCTCTCCTTTCTCTTTACAATACTAAATTAGTACCTGTCCAAGCTATCAATATCAGAGACGTATTTTCTTCTTAAAAGAAAAAAAAAATTTCTTGGGAATTTTGTTTAACACAAATTATTCCCATTCAAGCATAATAAAAGTCATCTCTTTTACCAGTCATCTCTTTTAAATTGAAGGATACTGGATAAAACGTCATCTCATTATACTATTATAAACCATAATTAATGCAGGTCTATAAAACATTTCATCTATGCACAAATTACTATAAAGAAATAAAGGGCTGCATTATTTTTATTCAAACAACTAGGAATAAAACTCCACCTTCTCTTAAAAAAAGGGAAAAAAATGGGGTCAGCCTTTCACCAATTCTGACAATCAATCTCAATGATATTAAAGAACAGAAATATGCCTAAATCCTTATTAACCGTACAAAAGAAACAAAATGGAAGAAGGAAATGAAGAAGAAGAGGCATCATAAGTGACAAGTTGTTAAGCAAGTATGTAGAAATTTCGAATTCTATAGTTTCATGCACTCATAACAGAAAGTTGTAACATAGCAAGTTCATCTGCTTCCAACTATCAAAAAGAAGAAAAAAAAAAAAACAAAAAACCCCAGAAATCCTAGATTAAAATGTATACTTCCTTTACAATTTCCATAGATAAAATGAATAAGGGTGAACTGCTCAATATTTAAGAATTGTGAGTTTCTGCATCAAAAGTTCAGAAGACCGACAATGCTGTGGAATTGGAATAGCAATGAGAACCTGAACTTGAGTGACTCGTTTGTTTCAGTTGAAAAGTAAGATTCATTAAATGATAATTTTCCTCTCATTAATTAATGCCACCAACTACAATCGACAATTCCCCCAACCTTGCACACACATTTCCTTTCCTTTGACATTCAAGACAGTGACACACAAACGCATACACACATAAAGAAAGAAGTCAATATTGTGGGTGAAACCAACAAAGATCTTCGCGACAAGGGATTAAACTGCAAGGATCATGACCCCAAAATGGCATCCACATACACAACCATTATACAACTATAAAACAACATTCCTGACCCAAAAAAAAAAAAAAAAAACTCTATCCCCTTATTTGTTCTCTAACGTCTAGAAATAAAGAAAAGCCACAATGGAAGGGAAAGTACCAACTACTAACAACAACCAAAGAAGGTGGCCAAAAACACACAACAACTAAAGGAAATCCATTTTCAACCTTCCAATCCCAACCCAAAGCGTACTGAGGTTTTATGAAAGGAAAATGTTTTTGGGACAACATTTTATTCACGGGACACCCTTAACATTAAATACATTCATTTAATAAAGTGAAAATTGTATACATTTAAAAGGTTGTCCCTATAGCACCTTCGTTTATGTAATGGAATCACGAAGAAAAAACTACCCTTTATCCAATTGGTGATCTGGGGGTCGCAAATGTATACATTTTCAAAGAAAATCTACCACCAAATACATAATCTATACTTGGCATTCATGGGATGACTATGCAACAGAAAAATTACAGGGTTGATAACTTAAAATAAATGAATCATGGTGTGTACCTAGTGACAGTAATCATCGAATTCAAGCAGCGAAAATTTTGATTTTGGTTCTCGTTTCCTATCTTCTTCCTTCGACTGTGTCTGGACCTGGCGCCGGCGCCATCTTCCTGTTTAGCCGTCAGATGTCCCCAAACTAATTGCAGTATTCTCTCGCCGCAAAAATAACAGAGCCATCTAAGTCGGG